GCAGTAAGTGAAGCCTCGCGCCTTGGAGTGGGCTAGCTAGTTAACAATGGGAAGGCCCCGACCTTCAAGCCAAGGTGAGCAAGGAACCGAATAATAGTGTGGTTGGTGAGTTCCTTGTGTGCGAGAGTTCTAAGGACTTCCTTGCACACGGAACCAGAAGCGAAGGCCCTATCAGCGAATTTAGAGTCCGTATAATTATCAGTTCTTTGTGGATCAATGAGAGCTAATGCAATGGCCATCTGTTCTGCTTTGTAAAAAGAAGTGGTTTGAACCGACGCTGAGGATAAAATCTGACCCTTAGTACCTATGCATATTGCTGCAAAGCGAGCGGAAATGCATTAAAAAATTAAACACGGCAATACAGAAAGAAAATGAAAAGACAAAAAAAGAAAAAAAGGACGAAAAACAAGGAATTGGTGAAGCAAACAAGTAGAAAAATATATAAATGAAAATGTGCTCCCGCATGTTTCGAAACAGGGGTCTACCATCTGGAGGTTGCAAGCCACGCGAGCTTATCTAAAGTGCCAAAATAGCAATGCCTCGGCTACAGGAGTGTGGGCGAGTTTTGTTTTGGCAGAAGGGGAGGCACGAAATTAATTTCTGGGGGAAGGGCATTTTTTTTTCAAAGTGGTCTTGTTGGGCTCTGTATGACACGGCGGAAAATTCGCGATGGGGGGGGGGGGGGACGTGGCTTTGGTGTGCTACCCCTTGTCTTCGCCACTGCTCAGATGCATTTCATAACGCGTTTGTATTTCCGTTTTTCCAGCGCATAGGCATACTCGTATAACAAGAGAGTCTTCGAAAAAAAACAATCACAACATATCCACGGAATGAATTATGATAAAGAAGTCGAAGCGTCCATAAATTCGCCCATGCTTCCGTCCGTGCGTCCGTTCGTCCGTTCGTCCGTACATGCGCCCGTTCGCGTGTCTGTCCATGCGTCCGTCCATCTAGTGAACACTTCAAGTACCGACACCTCGCTTCTTTTTATCATATATTCATCATATACAAGTACCGCAGTCTAGCGGACAATCGAAGGAGTAAACAAGAGTATGCACATTTCTGCTGTCAGTGTTTTGTTAACACCAAGAGCTCTATAATGACGCCGTGCTACGTTTTTCGTAACAAGTGGACATGCGGATATGTACCACTGGTATGCAGGTATACGTGCCACAGGTCACGCACTACAACAACGGGGGACGCACAAGCCACATCATAAGGAGCTTCGCTCCTAAAATTGTCAATAGCAGAACTTTGCTAGCCAAGTACCCGAGAAGCATTGTTGCTAACAATAATGCTGTACGGTACCAGCCAGTCAGTCGATAACTGTTCTTCCATACAGGTGCGTATCTAAGAACGTCTTTAGCACCTGAGCTAGAAGCACTTTATGATATAAAACCAATCTCACCCCCACTCACTTGACTTTAGCTGCGTCTTTTACAAAGTTGAACCCACCAAGTGATAAAAACAAAGTATACAGTGGGGCTGCTCTTTGTATTTAACAAAAATTGATTGTTTCTCTTTAAAAATTATGGAGAATCATCCCACTGACATCCTTTCCTCATGGCATGATGGTCGATTGAATGAGTCTGGATGAAAGTTGGTCTTTTTATTTTTGAACTCATTTGAAAGGAAACTCTCTGGCACAGCCTCGAGCCAGATTTTGTGGGCAATTTCACCGTTGGCGCAATCATAACAAAGAAAAAAACTTGCGTCTTTCTCAGTACGTACTTTTGTCTCTGCTTACATGTAGCAAGTACATGCACTCTAAATAATAAACGTTGTGCAGTAAACTAAAAAAGGGTTATTTTCTCTTAGAACACTAAAAACGGAGAAATGCCCTTTTGGGTCTTTTTTTAATTACCTAACACATTTCATATGGTTTGGGTATAAATTGCTTCATTACACATATTTGTGATAACTTGCAGACAACTATATCAAGGAAAGCATGGGGGGTGTAAATTAGTGGTAAATTGTATTGTGAATGCAAAGGAAGAAAAGTGTATGAAGAGATCACTTAGCACTGCAGGGACCGATTTCTGTGACATTCGAATAAGGCGTTTGATGCTCTATCAACTCATCTACAGCGGCGAAGATTCCTCCATCCATTTTGTGGGGTACATATGTTCATTAAAACTTGGGAATGTTAGATAGCGCTGCCAGTAGCTATGATGGCGATTGTTCCTCACACGTCGTCGTCCCTACTAATAACATCACCTGTACTTTTCTCGACATGACTGTCTGCTAGCTCTAACTATTATTATTTCTGACAGAGAAAACGAACCCTTAAAATTCGACTTTTCTACACCCATACCACAACACTATTTTGTGTGATAACATTGTAAGAATAATAAATTACTGCCCGTATAGAGCCTTGTGCCTAACCTACGGTGATTTTCTGTGCGATCTTCAATGAGGGCTAGCAAGAAAAATAATATTAGCAATATTTACTAAATTGTGCCCAGGTGGCTTAATAGGTGAGATTGACGTATAGACAGACGATGGATGGCCACGCTGCCTTGCGGTCCGTGCAGAAACTCGCCATGTCATCACCGCTTCAAACAGTGTCTTATCTCTTTCTAGTTTTCGTCGATAAATATGGCGTATTTTGCAGAGATAAATAGTGAAATAACTTTGCAGGTGCGAAATAAATTTCACTGCATTTCAAAGACACAAATGCGAAAAATAGGTTGGAATTCATGACGTCAAACTGATATAATAGGCACGCACTGTCGCCACTAAATTCAGTAATGTAAGATTTATCTTAACATTATTTGCACTAGGTAATAGATTGCCATAAAAATACGGCAATGCAGTTTTTAATTACCAACCTAATTCAGTGGTCCTGATTCATTTTCTCTTAACCATGATGACAAAAATACATAAAACAGAGGAGTCAATGAAATCACCGGTTGTCAGTAATAAAAAAACTAATATTTTAAAGGCACCGCCTATTTATTTTTTTTCTGTCTTCGTACAGAAAAAAAGGTATTAGCTACAAGGAGATTCCTTGTGCCGCAAACTTATTGATTGACTGATATTTGGGGTTTAACGTCCTAAAATCACCATATGATTATGAGAGAAGCCGTAGTGGAGGGCTCCGGAAATTTCGACCACCTGGGGTTCTTTAACCTGAACCCAAATCTGAGCACACGGGCCTACAACATTTCCGCCTCCATTGTAAATGCAGCCGCCGCAGTCGGGATTCGAACCCGCGACCTGCGGGTCCACAGCCGACAACCTCAGTCACTAGACTAGCGTGGTGGGGCAAGCGCTAAAACTATATATATATATATATATATATATATATATATATATATATATATATATATATATATATATATATATATATATATATATATATATATACACACGAAGCAAGCAGGCGAAAAAAATGCGCTGAGTTCTTCCGTAGTACTTCACAAACAGCCGAATAATGTTTATATTTTAGTTTAGAAACAACGTTTCCATGGACATATTTTTACTCCTGAAGCCATGGCAAAGCTATATATATCTAAAGCATCAAATATTAGATAAGCGCATTTTTGTTTTAAAGGCTCTTTGAAAATCATGTAAGAAAGACAACGGGTGGTGTATTTTATTTCTTAATAATATTCCTTCCTGGCTGTAATTTATTGAAGCCAGGAGTACACTTTATCATTTTACGTATTCAATGCGCTATGTTAATAACGATACAACTAACGACTAAGGCAGCAGCGTAAAACTAACCGGCGGATTAACAGAAGCAAGATTCGCACTTTCTTGTCATGGTGCTTGCCGCTAGCGCAGTTCTGGAGTTTTCGTCTTCTTGAATGAGAATGAGAACAAAAGATAAAGAGACACTTTTGATGAAACCAGTTGGTGGGGTGAAAATAACCAACTATAGCAGTTTCATGGCACTGGAGGTACAGCCATATACGTCATTTTGCATTAGTCTTCTGTTGACGTCCACGAAGTTGATATAGCCCGTGTGGCAGTAATGGTATACCTTGATTGATTGATATGTGGGGTTTAACGTCCCAAAACCACTATATGATTATGAGAGACGCCGTAGTGGAGGACTCCGGAAATTTAGACCACCTGGGGTTCTTTACCGTGCACCCAAATCTGAGCACACGGGCCTACAACATTTCCGCCTCCATCGGAAATGCAGCCGCCGCGGCCGGGATTCGAACCCGCGCCCTGCGGATGGTATACCTTGATGCGACATGTGAATTACTCGTATCTTTTAAGAGTAGGTTGGTGAAGACGCCTTGTTGACGTCAGCTAAATGGACACAAAAAAAAGGTGAGGGCTGTACGAACACCCGTTTGCTTTTTGATGCTCATATGTTCATCCGTGACGCATGCTATGGTGATCGAAGTTGACAGTTGTACGCATCCAATACCCTAGAAATCCTTAATAATTAATTAATTTGTTGGGTTTAACGTCCCAAAACCACTATATGATTATGAGAGACGCCGTAGTGGAGGGCTCCGGAAATCTCGACCACCTGGGGTTCTTTAACGTGCACCCAAATCTGAGCACACGGGCCTACAACATTTCCGCCTCCAGCCCTAGAAATCTTGTACACTTCAATTACCGTGATTGCTTTCGATGTTATGCATGACCCTGGGCATCAATATTACGATTTTCCTTTATTATTGGTTAGTTGCGACTTTACGTTTATGTAAAACATTACTGCCACAAAAATGTTCATTCCCAATTGTTAGTCTGTGGATTTATTGTAGTAATTTTTCAGCTTTTTTTGTTGGTGTTTCCTCTTGAAGTGATGTTGCTTATTGCAGAGCCATCTTGTCGAAAATTGACCAACATCAAGATTGGCTGCGGTGCGCTCTTGCATGAAATTTTAGCGTCATAACATTTCTTCTTTGAAATAAGTGCTACCTTGTAGGGCATAACGACATTGTATACAGGGCATGAAGGCATTGATCACTTTGTTTCTGGTATTAGTGTCTCGTGTCATGGCCTACTCATGAGTGTGGCTGCGTGTGTCGCAGGCTTCCTATCATCCAGGGCTGCAGCGTGACTTTCTTGGTGCCCATCCTGGCCACCATGGCGCTGCCTGAGTGGCGGTGCCCGACCGAGGAGGAACTCATTGCCGCGCGCGATCCAGATTCGGGAATCACGGGTCCCGCCACTGACCAGGAGTGGACGGCCGTCTGGCAGATACGCATGAGTGAGGTAAACACACGGCGTCCCCACCAGAAATCGCCTGACGAGGGCCATTGAAAGACATACCGGGTAAATTTTCAGCGACAAATGCGCTTCACCGCTGGCAATGCTGCCAAGAATCTGGCCAAGGAACCCGCACACACAAACACGAATGCAAAATGGGTGGTGCACCAATGTTTTTGTGCACATATTTTCGCCTTTTCGGACGTTAAATCCAACATATCAATCATCAATCATTGAACTTCGCCTATGGTCGGAATTTTCGCAGCGCACTTAGCTATGAAGTCACATCATCGTGGAGTCTACAATGACTTCGTCCATGTGAACGAAAACTATAACACTTTTTCAGCAATAATCCTTTTATAGAATTTGCGAAATTTCATGAAAACTAAGTAACAAATTGAAGGAACCACATGCATGTATTGCTGAGTAATGAATATATGGTACAAACATTAAGTGAGACTTCTACGGCCAACATTTCAAAACGAAAGCTAAAATACAGCATCTGTAATACCGTGGGAGACGGTCGTAGCACATCATATGGTGCGATTAGCGCGACAGACAAATTAAATATAGGCGTAGGAATAATCAAAAATTAAGGTAATCGAATGCCAATAAAGAAAACTGTTGCATTGTGTTTGTTAACAAACATCTTAATAAATAATGGGACATATTAGCGTAGCAAATCACCTCAATTTTTATTATTTGACCAAATACTTTGTAGATCGAGGTATAAAGAAGGAAGTGTCATAGTAAGAGAAGAATGTTTCCGTGATAAGCATAAAGAGTTTATTAGCAACAATGCTAGCTGAATAACTGAAATTTCTATATAATTACCATATTTTAAATATTTAGATGCAGACTTATTCACAGAGGAATACCAGTGCCAACAATATTGCCACAATCCTTCCTCAACTTTTGTTATCGCCCCGTTACACTCCAAGCAATGTTCTGTGCGAACAGCGCCTGCAGTGCTCGAGAATCTTTGGGACTGTAGTAGATCATTTTGTTAAAATTATGTGCTCAACGTGAACATTACGGATTATCCTGGAACTCATTTGGCTGCCAGCGATAACGCTGGAATATTTGAAGGCACAAGTACATACGCTGGTGTGCTTCGCCGCATGTCAGTTGACCGATGAACGACGCTCAGTTCGCCGCTCTCAGTACCTGTGTTTATCACTGTTCCCTGACTTTTTTTGATCGGCGACAACTCCGGCCAAACAAAGAGTTTCATCATAGAGAAATATAATAAATAAAGAGTTGCCACTTGAACCTTTTTGCGACCGAGCATGAAAGGGTCTTACCAACCGCTAGATAGCGTACCATACTCTGTTGTACTTCTTGATAAACACATGTAATAACCACCTCAGTGGGACGATAGAAACGCAAGTTTGGCATCAAGTTTTTGCAAAGAAGATATTCTATTCACTTGTGCAATTCGCTATATCCACTCTACATCGTGTCTCGCTAAGAAAGTTAAATGTTTTACCACAAAACACAGAAAATGCTGACTAGAAAGTGTTGTGTTTTGGAATTTTTTTTTGCACAAAGGGGTACACAATCATGTGATTTAGATGTACTGTACAGCTGTCAGCACCTTTAACACCAACGCTCCACCGCGTGTCCTGCAGCAGTTTGATTGTTGCTGGCACCACGTACGTTTGGGTTCTGTTGCCAAGATGCTAACCATACATGCCGACATACTATCGAAGCTTACCGAGGTATTATCTCGGCAAAAGCGCTCAGAACTTCGCGGCTGGTATCAATCAAATTAGCCCTGGCCACGCGTCCAAATGCTTGTGTTAAAGGTGCTGACGGCTCTACTTGTATTACCTTCATGGAAGCGTGGGTGTGTAGCCTGGTGGAAAAGACGCTTGCCTTCGAAGCATAAGGGTAAGGGTTTAAATCCCAACTTCGGAAAGAAAAAAAATGTTATTTTATTAATGCTGAAACGCTATCGGGTCAGATTAGCATGCTCGTGATGCTGAAAGCAGCGCATTAGCTAAGCCGCAAGGCCCTACGGGAATGTCCGCTCTTTACGTAAGTATGGTTTTTTATGGTTTGATATTCTAAATACAGTCTGCTCGCTTCGTTGACGTCATGACCCTGTGACATCTGGTGTAAGTGCGGCTCCTTTCATGTACCGGACGTTTCCGTCAAGCCGTGAATCCAGCTCACATCGCGAAGAAGACACCGCCAGTGACAGCCAAGTCAGCTGCAGACTGATAAGAATAGCCTTCGAAAACGGATCCCTACCGGACAAGACAAAAGCCATGGCGACGACAACAAGAGGCAGAATACAGCCGCAGCGTCTCCTGAAGTGGTAGCAGTTCCGACGTCGAAACATCATGGTCAGAAGAAAACCTAATCTCGCAACCTTGAAGCAGAGGTACAAACCGTCGTAGCTGGGATCTGACGCCACTACCTAGCTACAACTCGAGGCGGTGACCTCGCAACCTTGACGTTTTCATCGACGGCCGCACCGTCACAGCTCGTCGATACCGGAGCCGACCATCTCGTCATTAGTGGGATATTCGCCGCTAAGTTGAAGAAAGTCAAGTCCGCTTAGAAAGGCTCTGAAATTTGTACCGCTGAAGGTCACCTAGTTACGCTGGCAGTAATCTGCACAGCCAGAGTAACCAATAAACAAAAGATTTACTGTGCAAGCTTCGTCGTACTAAAGCATTGCTCGAGAGATGTCATCCTACGTATGGAGCTTTTGAGCCTACAAGGTGACTTCATCGACCTGAGAAAAAAAATCGATAGCACTATGCACAGAAAAAGCATTGCCGCCGTACACGCTATGAGGAAAGCACGCCTTGAATGTAATGAAAGACCAAGTCACTATTCCTCATCGCTTCAGCTCAGCATTTGCGTTAGCACTCAAGAATCAACAAACAGCCCCTACGTGGTGGTCTAGTGGCTAAGACACTCGGTTGCTGACCCGCAGGTCGCGGGATCGAATCTCAGCTGCGGTGGCTGCATTTTAGGTGGAGACGAAAAGGCTGAAGGCTTATGCGCTCAGATTTGGGTGTGCGTTACAAAATATCGGTTGTTCAAAACTTCTGGAGCCCTCCACTACGGCGTCTCTCGTAATAATATGCTAGTTTTGGGACACTAAACTTCACATGACATTACTTAATATTAGGAATCCACAGACATGCATGACGTCGTTGAAGGTGGCCAGCGCTTGTTGATCAACTGCGAAATTAGCGTCGCCATAAAAATAGCCGAGCTGCGAAGAGCGAATGCAAGAGCGTGGCTCACAAACTTCAGCAACGAGTACAAGGACGTCAGCAAAGGCACGATGGTTGCCTACATCGAAGAGATATTGGAAGCCAGCAACGCTTTCGCCCTCCCCGATTCCGCCGAACCCACTCCGGCGGCTCAAGCACTTCAACCAGCTTTCGACGCATAAACAAGAACAGCTCAGAAAACTGCTCCTGAAATGCAAGTACTTTTTTTCGTCATCATGCAGAATTCGACAGACCCCTGTCACGATACATAAAATCATTACATAAAAAAGTGCCAAGCCACACCACACCATCGAAGCCCGCACAGAGTTTCAACGCGGGAACGCGAGGCCATGAAGAAACAAGTTGACGAAATGCTACGCGCCGGCATCATGCAACCTTGAAAGAGTCCATGGGCGTCACTGGTGGTGTTAGTGAAAAAGAAGGACGGAACTCTACGCTTCTGCGTCGACTATCGCCGCCTCAACAAAATCACGAAAAAGGATATGTACCCACTCCCAAGGATAGACGATACCCTAGATGGACTCCATAATGCGAGGTACTTTTCTTTGACGAACCTCAAGACCGGCTATTGGAATAGCAGTGTCAAAGAGACAGAGAAAACACTACCTTTATAACAGCGGACAGCCTATTAGAGCACAAGGCCATGCCTTTGGTCTTTGCTCGGCACCTGCGACCTTTAAACAAGACATGGATACCGTCCTGCTTGGCCTGAACCGACAGACTTGCCTCGTTTATTTGGGGGACGTTGTGTTTTTCTCAAGCTTCAAAGAACACCTCCGGTCGCTTAAATCTGTATTTCAAATAATCAGGAGCTCCAGACTCACCCTGAAGCCAAAGAAATGCCGCTTCGCGTACAAGCGGCTCCTGTTTTTGAGTCGCGTGATCACCCAGACCCGCAGAAAGCAGCTGCCATCAACTCGTTTCCGTCACCCACTGACAAGAAGGCCATGCGCCAGTTTCTAGACTTCAGCGCGTATTACAGACGCTTCATCAATGATTTCTCATAGATCGCCGAGCCTCTGACGATGCTCATAAGACCGACGTCGAATTTAAGTAAGAAACAGCGCAAGTTAAAGCATTTGGAAAACTGAAACGGTGCCTGCATATCACTCCGATACTTGCACAATTCGACGAATACGCGAATGCCGGAATCCACACCGACGCAAGCAGCGTAGGTCTCGATACCGTTCTTGGGCAGAAGACTAACGGAGAAGAAAGGGTTATTATTTATGCTAGCTGGTAGCTATCGAAGGCAGAAGGCAACTATTCCACAACAGGAAAGAGTGCCTTGCTATCATCTGAACTACGCCAAAGTTTTGCCCCTAAGTCTATCGAAGGCTCTTCGAAGTTGTGAGCAACCACCACCCTTTAAGCTGATTTGAAGGACCCTTCCGGTCATCTAGAATGAAGTCTATGACTTCAAGAATTCGACGTTAGCGTCGTTTACCGTCCTTGTCATCCTCACAAAAACACTTACACGCCGACTGCCTGTCTCATGCCCCCATTTAACAACCACTGCCGGATGACGAGGACAGCGACTACTTCTCGCGAACCTTAAGCGTCGATGGCTTCACCGAACGAAAAAGAGTCGACCTTGAAATGAAGGGCCTTGTTAAATACTTCGAGGGCAAAACTGCCCTTGTTCGAAAGGTATTCAAACGAGGACTCACGTCGTTCACGTCAAGAAAAACTTCTCGCCACACCGGCTCAACTACCTCTTATTAGTACCCTCGGCATTCCGTCGAACAG